CCATTGGAATTCTCTTCCGTGCGTCTTTTGTTTTCCGTCTGTGCTATTTGACGATCAGTGTCTCCGTTCAATAGTTATTGTCCAAGTAGGTGGCAATGGAATTTTGTTTTTATGTTTAATGAAATTTAAAATCCCTGTCGGGATCAGCTGGGAAGTACAAGAGTATCTAATTTGACTATTTGAGGTTAAACATACAATGTTGTCAGTGCTTTCATACTTTGTTTGCCACTATACCTAATATGTTTGTATATCGGCGTCATGGATACGTATCAGTCAATTGTGATTTATAATTAAGCAAATACGCAGAAAATCATAAACTCAGATGCGAAAATACAAATTTTAAAGGCCTACAGGCATTATAAAGCAGACTCGTAAAATCTAGGGGGAAACAACTTTGAATTTTTGGTGTACACCCCTCTGAATTAATTTGAATTAGCCTGAATTAAAAAGAATTCACGTGAATTAATTACAATTAATGTGAATTAATTTGAATTAACGTGAATTAATTTGAATTATCGTGAATTAATTTGAATTAACGTAAATTAATTGGAATTTGGATGTTTGGTGTACAACAAAAATGGTTCCCCTTAAGACAAATTCGTTTCTAAAAAATCACCGATTCCTGTAAAAATTATCCTTATAAATCCTCAGAAAATTCGCTTCAGAAAATTTGGTTGCGCTTAAAAAATCGCCCTTGGAATGTTTCATCTCTAACGTTTCTCACTGGAGATATTCTCTATAGAAAAATTCTCATCCTGAAAGTGTAGCCTCGTAAAAATCACCATTGTATTTAATCTACAAAGACTTGTTCCCGGAAAATTTCTTCTGGGAAAATTCCCGATGGAAAAATTCGCTTCCGGAAAATGGAGGCTTGAAAAAGTCGCCTTGGGGATATGCGCACCGGAAAATTCTTTCCTGGAATAATTGTATAACATATTTTTGTCATGGAAATTTAGCCCCGAAAAAATCGCCCTTAGAATATTTGACATTAAAAACACGTCTCGCCCTGGAAAAATTCGCTATGGAAAAACTCTTTTCCTGAAAATTTAAACACGAAAAAATCGTTCTTGGAAAACTTTTCCCTAGCATACTTACGTGAAAAATTTGCCCCCAGAAAATTTAGTCTCGAAAAAATCTCCGTTAGAATATTTGACCCACAAACACTCGTCCCGACAAAATTTGCCCTGGAAAATTCGTTTCTCGAAAATCGTCGATTCCTGTAAAAAATCGCCCTTGGAAATGTCCTGAAAATTCGCTAGGAAACATGGCTTTCATAAAAAAAGGCTCGTAAAAATCTACCTTCGCTAGGATACTTGCGTGAATAATTAATTCGTTTCCAGAAAATTTGATGCGTTCTAAAAATCGCCCCTGGAATATTTGACCCCTAAAGACTTGTCCTCCGAAAAAAACATACGAGACAAATTCGCTATGAAAAAATTGCCTTTTTAAATTGCTTCCGTGCAAGATTCAACTCGTAAATTCATACAGGGAATATTTTTGAGTGGGCGGGGTTTCAGCCAAGGCTGCTCTACCAACCCAACCAACTATACATTTACAAATATCTATGCCCGAACCCGGATTTGAACCAGGGACCCTTAGCACCACAGTTCAGCTTTAACTGAACTGCGCCACACGGGCCGGCCCTCAGCCCCAAAAATTTTCGGGAGAGTTCTTCCTGGAAAACTTTCCTAAAAAATTCGCCTACCGAATAAAGTCGTCCTTGGAATATTTGACTCCCAAAAACTCCAAGGAAAATTGTTCTGGGAAAATTCGCTATAAAAAAATTCTCTTCCGAAAAATGTACCTACGGAAAATGTAGGCTCCCAAAATTGCCATTGAAACATTCGTCCAGAAAATTAAATTCGTCTACAGAAAATGTTGCAAAAATCATCTTTCAAATATTTGGTCCCCAAAAAATCGTCAAAGAAAAATTTGCGTTGGAAGTTTATGTCCTGGAATACATCGCTAAAAAACTCGCCCCGGAAACTTGCGTGGAAAACTTGTCTCCAGAAACGTAAAGAAATCGATCGCCCTTGAAATATTTGACCCACAAAAATTGTCCCCTCAAAATTCACCTTGGGAATATTTGTCGTGGAAAAATTCATTTCCCGAAAATTCGCATACAGAAGATTTAGCCTCCAACAAAATAGGCCTTGGGATATTTGACACTTAAAATTTCGTCTCCGAAAAATTCGCCCTGGGGTAATTCTCTATGGAAAAATTCTCGTCTTGAAAATTTAAGATTGATAAAATTGCTCTTGGAAAATTTTTCCCTGGTATACTTGTGTAAAAAATTTGTCCCCAGAAAAAATCCGCCCTTGAAATATTTTACTCACAAACTCTAGTCCTGGTAAGAATTTGCCTTGGAAAAATTCTAGATGGAAACAACTTTGAATGTTTGGTGTACACCTCTCTGTGTTAATTTGAGCTTACGTGAATTAATTAGAATTACTGTGAGTCAATTAGAATTAACGAGAATTATTGTCAATTAACGTGATTCAATTTGAATTAACGTGAATAAATTGGAATTAAACGGGAATTAATTTGAATTTGAATTTTTGGTCATCAAAAATGGTACTTGTTTCCCCCTAGCGTAAAATTCTCTGTGAAAAAAAACATGTTGTTGCATCTAAAATTCCATTTTTGCGGAAATTCTTTCAATACCAAAATTCAAGTGAAAATATAACATTCGTGCATCTGGACGAAATCTGGATTTTTCAAAATGGATCCAGCGTCCGAAAATGGGTACACAATTCTGAAATTAAAAGTAATCCGTCTAAAATTAAATCAGAAGGGAAGCGTTTTATTGTTTTGCATGCGGGGTCTCGTTTTGGATTTTTGAAAGGGTGTAATCTAGTACAAACTTCAAATAGTAACTGATAGGGATTATCACAAAACCATGAACGGGGAGATTTTTCAAAATTGGGTGGTTAATCAATTACTTCCTGCTCTGAACAAAATTACCAAAAATTATCTTTGGAGTTTAATTAATTGAACCTTTTAGAAAAACAAACGTTACGTGACTGACGAATTTTTGAAAAAGAATGGACACGAAGTTATTACATTGCCTCCCTACCTCGACCATTGCCAGTACAATCCTATTGAAATGGCAGGGGGGTTCTGTAAAACTTAGTACATCAAGCGTATAAATTCTCAGCGTTCATCCAAGGATGATGTCCTGTAATGAAAGTCATGGCATAATATGACAGATTAGAAACAATTTTTAGTGTGCGAAACAGACAATTATAAGCCTACTCTCCTACTTTTTTTTCTTATTACTTATTACAGTACGAATTTAATATTCATAGCTAAAAACAAGACTGAGGACAACGTCAGGCAGCTAGTGTTGAATATTTATGTGTATATCTGTTTACTGAAGGACCCGTTGACAAGAATATGAATTTTCCTAGTAATTCCCAGTGAAATTTAGTTACGATTTTCATTCAGAAAAGCTGTTCGTGTGACCGGTTTGCAGTATTAATTTGAATAGGAATAAGAGTAAATAAGGGAATTTCCTTCGTTGTTTAGAAAATTGGAAAGTTAATAATCAAGAGGAAAAATGATCACTATTTCCAACAAATAGTATCAAAGATAAGATTAAAAAACAATTTTATTGAGATAAAGATTAAGACAAATTTTGTAAAACAAATGAAGAGAGTGGATTGGGTTTGATATTGTTCCTTAATATGTTTCAAGTCTCAGAATGTATCACGTTGGAATCAATCTTGTTTATTAACTAGGAAGGTGCAACCAAATCAAAATTAAAGTTTCAAGGAAAAGGAGAGAAGAGCCGTTTCTCATTAGCTCTCTTGCAATAATTAACGTAATTTCATTTCATAGTAACCAGAGGATTTATCTAATTACTTTATCATAAAAAATGGGGTATTCCATAACCTCACACGAGGAAAGGGGTTTTTCAACCCACTAAAATAGATAAGGCCTGGGAGATTTGAAAATCAATACAAATTTATCCGAATGTTCGGGTCAGGGTTCGGGTACTCTTTTGATGTCCAAGAAACCATTGCACTTACCCGCAACGTTATTCCACGATGAAAGCCTCACGCTAAACTAAAATCTTGGAAAAAGTTCGCTTAATTAGCGTATTCTAATTATTGAAGATAACTCGGAAAGCAAAAACTTATTTACACTGTCGCTACTAAAATCTGTGATTAACAACTTCAAAGGTATTTATGAAGTGAATAACTAAGAAAATAGCGTTTCTAAGCTTTACAAGGGTTTACAGATTTCAGTGATCTTCATATAGTGAAGGAAAGACTTTTCTTCCTTTATCTTCCGTAACATTCCTACACAAATCATTGATTTTATATTAAATTCTTCAGAAGCTGACATACCCAAAGATGTGTATAGAAAGAAATTGGTATGAAAGCAGACGCGGATTACGATTATGAATCCTTGCCTGCATATTTTCTATAAAAAAGAATGTAGGTAATACACCTGGGGAATTTTAAATTTTGATGAAATACAACGCTGATATAAATCAAAGTGTATGGGGTAGGGTTCGCGTATTCGTTTTTTAGTGTTGATAAAAGTTGGCAACTTCGAAATGTTATTGTGCGGAGTATGTAATGAAATGACGGAGCGGAAATGTAAAAACTGCGCAAATAAGTTAGACTGCCGAGATACAAAGATTAGAAAGTGTCATGGAGAAAGACGTTTATTACAAAAATTAAGATTCTTATATTTTCATGACAAGAAGACACTGAGATTAGGTTGCCATTCTGGATTGTTCTTTTAAATTAAATTGTCTTCTAACTTAATATTTTTATGGCTTTTTTAAATTAACTTGTGTTTGGTTAAAATTCGGTCGGCAGTTCTTGCATTATTTTGTTGCATTAATCCCTAAATTGATCGTTAAATATTCACGAATTACAATTTAAAAGGGAAACAGAAGTTGCAGACTTTTACATAATTGGAATTTAGTACACTGAAAATAAGATAAATGGAGCCGACGTTTTGTAATACCAATTTTTTTTGTTTCAGAGTATGGATTGCGAAAGCTAAATTTTATTAAGGATATTTACCACGTAAGTACATTTTGTAGGGTTTAATTGAGGATTTATTTGATGAAATTGCATCAATAAAAAGTACTGCGTCGACGTAAAGGCGATGTATGTACCTATTGAGAATTACATTATTTATTCTTCAATAACAATTTGTACTAACATCAGTTACTAGTTAGTAATGTGCTACCTAAGCAATTATCGAATTTTTTTTTAAATGAATTACAGGTATACCTAAGAGTTTATAGTGACTTGATTGAGATTTGGTTGTAATTACTCGATTTATTAAGATGTAAAGTTTATTAGAAATGGTTGGGGCGATCTAAATAAGGTACTTGATAAAGGTTATTGAGAATTCTTGTACCTGAGTAATGAAATCTATTCAATTGTCTGGTATTTTCTTGACTTAAGTGACTGAAACCTAAGCTTACAAGACGGTGGAGTTGGTTCAAATATTTTCAGTTCGAACTTTCAACCTTTTCCTAAAACATTTTTTACTTATCTTACAAGAAAATTTTTAATCACTATTTTCATTTTTGGTGTGTACCGAACGGAAGAATCTGTATAAGCTACCCAAGCAACACAGTTCCGTATAAAATGCGTTTATTTGTTACTCAGTTGTAAACGTCGATTAACAAGACAAAACGCAAACGGGTAAACGTCATCTTTAAACGCTACTGACTTGTAAAACTGACAGCTGACGTGTAAAAATTTTACAAGTTAGTAATCTAGTAATTTCATTGGCCAGAATTAATGCAAAGTCTCTGTTACATGGATAATATGATATTTTAGACATTTCTTCGAGATCAATTTAAGAACTAATTATTTACGTTTACAAATGAGTAACAAATAAAATATTGTACATTATACGCCAGGTAATAGTTTTTACTGGCTCTAGGAGATGACAGGCTCGCCTGGCGGCTCGCCAGTCAACTTCTCCTATCGCCAGTAAAAACTCACTTACTTGGCTAATAATGTAATAGTATATTACATACCGAGGTGGGAAGTGTTTCATTACTGTCGAGCGCCAGATTGTTGACCGAGACGCGAAGCGTCGAGGGCAACAACAGGCGCAAGACTGGAATGAAAAACGTCCACCGAGTGTATGTATACTATTTTATTCACAATCTACCTTGTAATATAACAAATTCCATATTTAATTGGATTAGGATACACTTCACTTCTTCCATAATTTTAATGGTAGGCTTTGCATATAAAAAATTGAAAAACTGTTGACATTTTCAGTTCCCTTTTGTGCAGGCGGTGCATTATTTTAAATAAAAATGTCATCAGATAGTGATTGTAGTGTTTTGGAAAGCACCCCACCTGAACTTAGAGCGGCTGCCGCAAAATTGTCAAGTAATTTGTTGCCGATAAAGAGTAAGTCCCGATATGAAAAAACATATGTCAGTTACAAGAATTGGTGCGCTCAAAAAGGAGCAAAGAATTTTTATTCCGAAAACGTGGTATTGGCTTACTTTAGTGAAGTTGGGGAAAGTAAAAAACCTAGTACATTATAGTCAACATATTCCATGTTGAAAAGTACTCTTAACATTAAACATCAAGTTGACATCTCGAAGTTCGCTAAATTGATAGCATACTTGAAAAGGAAAAATGTTGGCTATGTCCCAAAAAAAGTCATGTGTTTTTACAAAACAAAATATCGATGACTTTTTAAAAAATGCTGCAAATGACTTCCTGGCCCAGAAGGTAAGCATAACTGACGGTTAATATCTTGCATTTTTACTTCTATGCGTATAATATTTTAGGTTGCATTAATCATTGGCGTTTCTGGTGCCTGTAGAAGCGATGAATTGTTTAAGCTGAAAATATCCGATATTAGCATTTCTGATAAGATCGTTGTTGCCATACCTGATACTAAAACATACAAATCTCGAGCATTTGTAATCATGAATGCGCTAGTTGGATCGACATTGTTAAACAATATATAAATTTAAGGAAACACGTGAATAGTGAAAGGTTTTTCTTTCAAGTACGGCTTGGGAAAGTAGTCAATCAACCCTATGGCCATAACTCAATAGCCAAATTTCCCCAATTAATTGCTACCTATTTGCAATTGGAAGATCCAAAGGGTTTCACTGGACACTGTTTTCGCAGAACAGCCGCAACCTTGTTGGCTAATTCTGGAGGAGATGTTCTGCAACTAAAGAGATTGGGCGGATGGAAATCAAGTACTGTGGCTGAAGGTTATGTTGACAGCTCTTTAGATGGTCAAGTGAAAATCGCTGATATGTTGTCCACCAACAATTCGATTCCAATTCCTTGCAACAGCACTTCATACTCCCATATTGATCCATCAACTGCATCAGAAAACACAGAAGAAAACGTTTTAACTGTAAATGCTACAAATCCAGTTACAATGTTAACAAACACTAAAAGTCCTAAGAAAACTGTGTCTTACGCTTCAAATCAAGAATTTCAATTTTCTAATCAGAAATTGCAGCAAGGTTTGTCCTTAAATATTAGAGGCTATGATGATCAGGCAACATTTAATTTTCATTTTCATTACTCTAATTCCACCAACGACAATGAAAAACATTGAGCGAATTAGTTGCTAAACTTGAATTTATGCGGTTCAGTAAAATGTGTATAGTTATTATCAAAATAAAAAGTAGTTTGTTGTCGTTTTATTTAAATTGTCATCCAAATAAACGCAGAAGTACGAATGGAGACTACCTCAAGAGCAATCTACTTGAAAATCAATCGCAATCACAAAACACCAGCGTGAGCTTAATACTGAAATCAAGTCGGCATTGGCGTGCAGGTTGGGAAGTACTTTGCCGACCTCAAAAGGGGTTCGCAAAAGATGTCAAACAATTGCTCACTTCCAAACTTCAAAATAGTTGGCAATTGACATATTACATATATGATTGTGAATAAAATACTATTACTAAAATCCTACGTATAAAAAACGTAATTATGTACAGGCTAATTCAAATTCGAGGGCCACCATCGGGAGATCTCGGAAACTGTAAGAGATAGGTAGGTAATTTAAATTTGCGTATTTTGATGCTTAACAAAATGTAGTTTTGAACTGAAAAAATTCTGACTACTGTCGGAGATATCCGGAAAAAAACGAAATTTTGCAAAATCGTTTTTATTTTTTTACTGAAATTATTAAAAAAAGATTTTAAAATAAATAGCACATTATTACGGCCAGTTTTCTCCCTCTACAAGGTGCTAGTTTTAAAATTTAAATCCGACATTTCGTCTCCTGTTAACAATCATCAACTTTGTTTTTTCTTATAGAAGTAATTTTTACTTACATCTTGAGTTGAATTATAAAGTAGTAAAGAATTTCAGGTGCTCAAGTAAAATATGAAAACTAATTACAAAGACGAATAAATGACCGCTCAATTCGAACAAGCAAATTGTAAGTTGCAAATAAACATGAGAGCTTTTAGGACTAGTTTCTGTGTACAGACTGAGAGCAACAGGTAGATTGTAGCTCTTTGACTTTATGATTTCTATATTGGGGATATGTTGATTTACATAGTTTTGCAACATGGTTATTAATTAATTAAGAGACGCTATTTTGTTTCATATTTCGAAACCGATACTCACTTGCTTCTGGGCCCTGAGAAATAATTCTTTATATTCACTGATTTAACCGACTTCGTTCCTTCAATAATAATTAAATTACCAATAGTGCCGGTTAACGGTACAGATGCAAATAAATGTAACTGACGAAAGTACAAAAGGCAACCGCGAGAAGCAAAAGCATCGGTAGATAAGGATGCAAAAATAAATTTACAACATAATGAATTGCTCCGTTCCCGACATCGGAAAAATATGGGACCGATGTCAAACTTTCCGTTTTTTAAGCGCACACCTAACGGATGTACTCTCGACTTAATCGGCGGTTGTTATCTATAGCCCATTTATATAATTACGGCTAATGATACTTATCCAAATAGAATGAAATCTCCAAATTCAGTCTAGCAATGCCCTTTTGTTTCTTGGACTGTAAGGTCGAGCTGCGCACTCGGTTATCACCTGATATTTCCTTAAACTTCACGACCTTGTCTGTTTCAATGTTGGATTTTCGTATACCATTAGAAAACTAAAATCGATTAGTCGGTAATTAACGGACCTAAAACTTAATAAGATCGATTTCCTCCCTTCTTCCCTGGTAAGTGAGCTTTCGGAGGCTGTCAAAATAATTTGAATATTCCTATGAATATTGCAAAACGGATAAATTCACTACCAAACTTACGTGTGTTATCGGCGGTATAAGACAAACAATTATTATAAAACAAAATGAAAGTACACAAAGCTCAATCCTCGTCTCCTAGAGCAAATAACTAAATTCAGAAACTACTTTATAGTAGTAACGAAACGCCGGACTGAAAACGCCATTAGATACCGGGTGGTCACCAAAGCTGGTCGACTCCAAAAATATTGGTGGGGTCATAACTTCGGGTATGAACTTCAAGGCGGAAAACGAGTGCTTCGTTACAATGTGTACAATAAATAACGTAGCAAATGGTCATTTCTGTAATACAATCGACGCTTGACGTTATACCGACAAACATTCAACAGCCACACTTTATTGTTGTTAAATTTGTTTAGAGAGATTTCATGACTTAGTTGGAGAGGGTACGCCAAGCAAAAAACAACGAATTCATATCCATTGGGATTTTACTAAGTTTCGAATAGGGTAAGTGGGTGCACTGAAAATAACATCCCAAATTTTCATCGTCATCCACTATGGACTACAGTATTCTAGTGTAAAGTATCGTAGACGATTATCGCTTCTAGAATATCCATCGGTGTAATTTTCTTTCTCAAAATGGGGTGGGATGCATAAAGTTTGTTTAAAGTTGGAAGGTTTGTCAACTTTAAACAAACTTTACTGTAACAAAGTAGCGATAGATTGATCATTCTTTTTGAGATCTTCCGTCCGTTCATCAATCCGTCCGTTCCCGGATATACGAGTAAACAGATCTTCAAAATGTTTGCACCGATATTGGTCATTATTAAATGGTCCTAATCCCAGTTAA